TTATATTGCATTTATTATAATTAAAACCCATCTGCCATTTATTTGCCCAACTCACTAAATGATCTAAATCTTTTTGTGAATCAGCAGAATTTACTTCACAGCTAGCAAACACCTAAGACCTTAATATCATCTGCAAATTCAAGTAATTTATTGACTATTCCTTCATCTATGTCATTGATGTAAATCAAAAAGAGCAAAGGTCCTAAGACTGAGCTCTGAGGCACCCCACTTGTGACATTAATCCAGTTTGACTGAACTTCAATTGTAACAACTCTGCTTTCTTCCATTCAGCCACCCTTCTATCTAATTTATTAACTATCTCCCACACCTATAGAGATAATTTTTTACAAGACTTTTATGTAGCACCACCTTCTCAAATGCTTTCTGTAAATCCAGATACACGAAATATACACTCTTACCCTCATCTACATAAGCAGTAATCTTTTCAAAGAATGTCGAAAGATTTGTAAGGCAAGATTTTCCCTCAGTGAAACCATGTTGACTATCCAATAAAATTCTAAACTTTGTTAAATGACTTTGCAAAGGCTTCTTTTAACAGAGTTTCCAAAACTTTCCCCAAAACTGATGTAAAACTAATGGGTCTATAATTAGTGGGACAATTTTTATCACCTCCCTTGAAAAGAGGAGTTACATTAGCTAACTTCCAATTCTCTGGTACCTGACCACTATTCAAGGACTGACAAAAAATAGTAGAAAGTGGATCACATATCCAATCTTTAACCTCCTTCAAAACCCTTGGGGAAATATTGTATGGCCTAGGAGCCTTATCGTTTTTTATACTAACCAAATTTTTTTAATAAGCTCAGAATTAATACAGATATCTTGTCGATTTTGTTTCCATTTATCAACTGTTCAAGATGTAGAATACTGCTTAAATCTTCATTAGTAAAAACTGAAAAAAAAACAAAATTTAATAACCCAGCTATCTAATAATCATCAGATACTAGCCTTCCTTTATCATCCTTAATGTACTTAAAGAAATCTTTACTGTTAATTTTTATATTTCCAGCCAACCTTTTCTCATACATCGATTTTGATGTCCTAATTTCCAGTTTCACCAACTTTCTTGATCTTCTATAATATTATAAATCTGGCCCGGCATGGTCAGGTGGTTAGGGCGCTCGACTCGCAGTCTGCGGGTTGCGGATTCGAATCCCCGTCACACCAAACATGCTCGCCCTTTCAGCCGTGGGGGTGGTATAATGTGACAGTCAATCCCACTATTCGTTGGTAAAAGAGTAGCCCAAGAGTTGGTGGTGGGTGGTGATGACTAGCTGCCTTCCCTCTAGTCTTACACTGCTAAATTAGGGACGGCTAGTGCAGATAGCCCTCGTGTAGCTTTGCGCGAAATTAAGAAAACAAACTTATAAATCTCCTGTCATACCAGTCAATTTAAATTTCTTAAATTTATTATGCTTTTCTTAAAACTTCTCTCTTAAACTATTTGTGAGCCAATCTGTTTTGCAGATACCCTTTTCTTTCTATAAGGAATATGTTTACCTTGAATATTTAAATAATTTCCACATCTGATCAATGTCTCCAAATAACTCAACTGTCCAATTCACAACGGATACTTCTTGTTGCATCCCTTCAAAATTTGTTTTTGAAATTTGTAACCAAAATGTCATTATTCCTTATCTCCACATGCAGCAAAACATCGAACCTAAAAGAGCAATGATCACTTGCACCCAGAGGTTCCCCAGTTTCCACCCTCCCAATCATTTCTATATTTGAAGATAATAATAAATCTAAAATAGCATTGTTTCTAGTAGGTTCCTTGACTAACTGGTGAAGAAAGCCATCCAGAACAGTTTCCAAAAACCCTTTTCCCTTATGGTTTGACTCTAGAATTTCCCAATCTGTATGCTCCAAATTTAAAATCACCCATAACTATCACTTCATTAACAACTGAAATCTTAGTCTCATTGTAAGGTTTCTCACTAATTTCATCAGTATCATTTGGTGGTCTGTAACAACTTCCCATTAAAGGCCTTTTCCCTTTACATCCTATAATAAAAATTCAAATGGATTCAATCTCCTTACTATTATCTTTGATATCCTCAACTTAAACATTTTAGATATAATGCCACTCCCCTCTTCTTTAATACTCTATCCCTATTAAATAACCTGTAACCCTGTATTTCAAAGAAATTTCTGTCATCAAAATCATCTACGTTTAACCAT